TATTTCTTAAATTTGCAATTGTGTACAGCAAGCAATAGAAATTTGGTACTTGTACTTTCGCATACACTTCTGCTGTGCACAGTATTATTAGTAAATTACGCATAAATTATCATTTATAAATGATTATTTAATAATAAAAATTATATTTATGATATAATTATATAATGATATATGACAAATGTGAAACGATCCTAAAAATTTATTTATTATGTGCAATGTCTATAACATAGTCTTGAATTTTGGGCCCGTTATTTTTTCCTATAACCTTTATCTATTAAAATAATTATCTATGAAAAAACTTTGCCTTAAGAAAATTATATTTTAAGCACTAAATTATGTTTATATTATTAAATTCTTCCATAAGCCAAGAAAAGTTGTCTGAAGCTACAGATCTCCGCTTCATTGCGTAGTTTATAATTATTTTGCTCGACAACGCTACAGGTAATTCAATAAGTTACGCAGATCCATTCTGATGTATTTTCTTTTTTTGTTCTAGCAAATCTTTCATATCGGCAAGTGCTTTTTCGATTTGCTTTGCAAATTTGGCGGCATCCTATAGATATTGAAATAATTTGTTAGAAGATATCATTACATTACATTACACTTTAATATAAACAACTATATACTATGGATCTATAAAATATATAATTGAGACAATAAAAATATTTAAAAAATAATAAGTGTAGAAAGACAATTATAATAATAAAACTAAAAATATTAATTATTTTACCGTTCTTGACGAAGATCGTTTACTGGAAACATGGAAAAATATAAGATCTTCTCCCGCAATTATATAAGAAACTCCGTAGCCATCATCGGCTACAGGACCAAATCCACCACCAGCTGAAATGCATTTAGGATATGTTTTCAAATCTAGTCTCGAAGTTTGACCGTGTGGAGTTTGCGATGTCGACAACCTCCATGGCTCACTTAGAACTTCCTACAATAGAATCATTCATCATATGTTAATGAGATCATATTTAATCAATTATATACGTATATCATATTCATAATAGCGACTCGTAAAATAATTACCTGCAAAAATGGCGAATCTACTTCTAAGTACTTCGATATTACATATAAACAGAACAAGTGCCTATCTATACCTTTACCACACATAGCATCTTGATAACTTTTTTGATGTCGTGTTACTGCATCCATTAGCAACTTGACTTTTTCTGTTACCTATATTGGGAGAAAGATCGATTAGAAATACACAGAGAAACAAATTTATGTGCTTTTTATTTATTAATTTGTTTTTACCGTTGTTGTTTTATGCTCCATTGCTTTTACCCATTTAGAAGATTCAATAGTGCACGGTCTGACTGTTTCTGTTCTACCTTCTCGGAATAACCTTGTCATAGAAGCCTCATAAGTTAAATTAAACTTGCCAGCATCACGATAGTAAGCCAATTGCAACGCCATTTGTATATAGGCGTCTGGTGATATGGAATGAGCTTTCATCAAACCTTTACCATAAGCATCGTGCACATAAACACGTAATTCAACATCATTTAATATATTGTGCGCCACCTTTTGAATTCAAAATCAATTGTTACATAATCGTGATATTTGTTAAATGTAGTACACTACATTTAGAACACGAGATTACTTATTATTACCTGATAAGATTGTTCAATTGCTTCAATACACCTGGCATTTAAATCCCATTGCAATCGAGTTGGAGCTGGAGGTATAAATTCCGGATTGCCTATATTGTGTCCGTCTTTATATCTGAAAATAATATATATTTCTCAAATGATAGAAAATTCTAAGCTATATTTTATTTTATTGAAAGAAATCAAATTCATGAAGAAAACCATATTATCATGCATTATTTGAAAAGTAAGGACTTAATTTTCACGATTGTATTAAATTTCATTTTAAATAACTTAGAGTGGATAAAAGATAAATTGGTTCAAATGGTCCTTACTTTCCAGATAATCTTTTTATAATATCATGCAAATCTATAAATACATTTTATTATGTAACTAATTTAAACTACAATAACTTTCATTCATTTATTTTAATTAAGTTATAACTTTTCATTGAAAATAACATTCTTAATCATACATTTATAATGCAATAACAATCAAGCAGATGATATTTTGACAGATTAAAAAGCATTACAGGCAAAAATTTACATGTAAAAACGCTTGTAAGCATAGAAATGTTAATCATTGTATAATGATAAATACAATAAAAGTACAATTATTAGGAATGATATAAATGAATAGTTAGTAATTTGCTCTACTACATTACACTGTGTAACAATACACAACAATAAATAACCCGATTACCCGATTTCAATATCAGCAGTTATAATAAATTCCCATAGAGTTCCGAGCACTGGTGCATCAGCCCTAATAAGCATATGAGAAAGAAACGTTAAAGACAAGATGCGAAAGAGAAATATGAAAAGCATTCATCATCTGTAATATAAATATCCGGTAGAAACAGGTAACCTCCATAGGAAATGTAATATTTAAGAAACTGAAACATAAGCATAGCATGAACCCTACAGAAAGATGAACTTTAAAGATGACTACTGTAAAGAGAGTTTCAAGACACTAAAAATTTGTTAAAAGAAGTATCTTAAATTTAAAAAAACATGTAGATATATATTGCAATCCAAATTATTTCTATAGACGTTCTTAACACATAAGAGATAGATAGTAATGTACAACAGTAATCTTACAGAAGCAGAAGGAGAAATGTATATATGCAAAATAAATAATATTCTGCAGGCTATGAATTGTAATTCTTACTTTCGGTTCAGGAACTCCGAACATAATATGTACTCCCACAAGTGTGACATGACTGCAGCATCTGCCCTGCTCATTACTTATCATTATATGCATTGTTTCAATATATACGCATAAATTTTGTAATGTCTTATTTTATATTAATAAAAATATAAGTCTAATTGTGTTCATGTGTGTGTGTGTATATATATATATATTTTTTTTGTGCATAACAAATTCGCGCCTTACATTTGTCTTTATTGAAAATAGGTGCACAATTTTTTAAAATAAACTTTTTTTCATAAAATATATACTCACCAAGAATGTTCTGCGTTGAAGCCAATCTGTGTAAACAGAAATTATTTTTATAAAACATTGAAGCTAATGATAATCAATTACATTATTGGGGTACATTGATGTAATATAATCCAACGGGTTACCAACTCATTGGATTGTATTACATCACATTGCAAAGGATCTCAAGTGAGGATCGAAATGTTTGTCTAATCATTGTCAATTAATTGAATAAAGTAATAAATATTATACACTTCAATATCTTATATCTGGCTCTCAAGGCAATTTTATGTAATTGATTTATTTCACTTGAGCCTTAATTCTTATTAATTTGTTTAATGATAATCATTTATAATATAAATATGAAGATACAATAAGTATATATTACTTACTCTGCCATTATTTCCAATGCATAATGTAAAAGATTTATCGAACCATCGATCATATCCTTTTCCGTGTAATAGGTTTCTACCGTAACGATCTAATTTTTCTGGATATTTCTAATGCACGAAATGAATAAGAATTATATTAGTTTGCAAATATGATTAATATTTATATTGTTACAAAATGTTTTTATTTTATTAAATAACGTACTGTATCGTATTCATAAGGTACATCGTCCAATGTGACTACAAATGCCGCCTTTTCAACAATATCCAAAGAAGCCTTATTTACACCTTTCGCGAAGAAATCTTTTCTGGCCTGCGCCCAAGCAGTTCTTTCTCCAGCTGTTAAAGCAGCTAATTTTTCCTCTCCTTCCGACGGTGTTGAATTGTCATCCAAAATTTGTTGAATCTGACTGTAAGGCGATATTATAACA